CTAGCTTTTATGAAGTTGGCAACTTGAAGGGAATTTACTCCGTGTAATTCATCGCGTCGCCCACAAACTCCATCTTGAGATCGAGTCATTGACTCGGATCATTCAAGACATTGACGCGTAACCCTCTTCCCGTGTTGCTGTTTTCACCTCGATATTAAACGCTTTTCTTTTTTAAAACATACTGGGGACGGTAAGCATATCTTCACAAGATGTTAATATTTTTTTATTTCAGCTTCGACACGCCCCCCCCCCTTCCCCCCAGCCATGAAACACTATGATGATCAAATAAACACTGAAGTACGTGTAAACAGGAGGGGTTGGGGGGGGTGGGGGTCTGGTTTATTCTCAGCGTTAACCTCCCTTGACGTCAACATACTGGCACCATTTAAGCGGGATAGCAGTTGTTCATTTTCGATGTGTTCAAGTTGAAGCATGCCACTCTCCTATCAACCTCCTCCACCACCACCGCCAGTCTAACGGCCCCCCCCCCCGGTCTACTCATCCTGACAGAGGGGAAGATAAGCAGTGGCAAAGGGAAACAAATGCGTGCTGTTCCGGGTGCTCAACTACAAATAGTTCAAGATAGAGAAAGAAGCAATCGATAAAGGCCGTGAAGAGGATTCCGACTATCAAAGAGCCCACGAAAACGTGGGGGATATTTTGGTATTGGGGCTTACGATGAAATAGTTGTCACTTTGATAGCCTAATAGCAAGGGTGTGGGGGGGGGAGGGGAGGGGGTGGACACTGACTGAAGTTTGGCTATCGTCACTATGGCAACTTCACCAGATGGCCGATGAGATGAATTGGGCTGACCATCTGGCAGGAGAAGAACAGTTAGCAGTTGATATAACTTGTTCATGGACCATCATTCTAGGTTAAGACAATCCCAAGAAAAGATGGATACACGTTCAGTCTGGTTGGTTCAATTATGAAGAAGGACGAAAGACTACAGGAACATGTAATCTGCATTATGCTTCAGGAGTTGTATTCATCTGCCAAGACAAAGACAGGGTTGGCTGGTTCTTTTAAAAATTATTCAAAGGAGTCATCCATAAAAGACGTTGTACGGTGGGGGGGGGGGGGGCCGCAACAAAGGTGGCCGACCCCCCCCCCCCCGAGAGAACAAGGGAGTTGAATTTGAGATTATGACTTAAGAGAGTTACAAGACATCTCTGGGTGACTTATTTTGTTTTACACCCCAACTTAAAAAGTTTATTAAATCGTTTTGGAATCCGGAGGAAAAGATAAGAAAATAAACAGCTTCAGTTAATTTAAAACTCATTTGTTGAAAAAAAAATTGTTTTCCTTGAACTAGTGAAGCATGAATTAGTTGACAAAATAATTACGACAATATTTATTGTTAAAACAACACGGATGACGTTATCTATAGAAAACTCTTTGCATTATTGTGAGTCTACCTCTAGTGTTTTAGTGTGTGTCCATCTGTAGTGTTTTAATGTGAGCCTATGTTATGGCATATGTTTAGGCCTGATTTTAGCAACCACCACTTGTCTTAAGTATTTTGTTTTGATATTGACGCCACCGATTAAATGTGCTTTTCCTTCCTTTTACCCACCCCTCCTACGGTTGGGAAAAGGTTGTTTATGTTCGAATACGTTCTATTTGTTCTAAGGAATGCTTTCAGTTCTGATTTAATTCATAAACCATTATAACAGTGTATCTCTAGTGTTTAAGTTCGATGCTATCTTTTAGTGTTAAGTGTTAGGCAAACTCTAGTGTTTTAGTGTGAGGTTATCTCTAGTATTTTAGTTTGAGGCTATCCCTAGTGTTTCAGTTTGAGGCTATCTCTAGTGTTTTAGTTTGAGGCTATCTTTAGTGTTTTAGTTTGAGGCTATGCATCTTTAGTGTTAGTCCCAGTTAGATCACTCCGAAGCTTGTGTTAGGGTCAATGACATTCAGACATAGTTTCCCCGTTACTACATCTATTAATAGCTTACCCAAAGTTTGCCTTTCTTCAACACATTGCTCTATTCGCGGTCTCTCTATATCCACTTTGTATCCATCACTGTCCTCCTCTTCCAACGAATCTATATCCATAGATTCACACGAACCATCACTTTCATATTTGGCCTTGGTATGCATCCTGGATGCCACACCGAGGTCACTGTCCGAGGATTCTGAAGTGGATAATGTATAATCCACATCGTTGGATGAGATCTCATGGGCATTCTCATCGTAAACCTTGATGGACACGTGACATTTCGGACACTGACCACCGCCACGGGACGCACTGTCCCCTCCGCAGACACACTCGCTGCTCGAAGTTTCGTCTTCGTCCCTCTCGAAAATCGTCTCCAGAAGCTGGTATTCGGGCTCGAAGCTGTAAAGTGGGTCGCCGGGCTCGACGTCCCCCCACTGTCGCCCCTGCTGGCCGGCCACGTACGCACACGAACTTTCGTCTCCGTCAACATTGTCGTACTCCTCATACACCTCCTCCATGGGCTGAGCCCACCGGACCACACCACCGGAGCCACCATGGCGTCTGTCCGTAGGGTCTTCTCCCTTGGTGCGAGCCATCCCTTGAGTGTCCGCGCTGACACGGTCTTCGTGGACGTCCTCGGGACCATCCACTTGATCCGGTTCAGTGGCGTCATCATCCACAATGACGTCATCCCCTGTCATCGGTTCTGACGCTTCCATCATCCCAACATTGTCAGATTTTTCCGAGCCCGCATTCTTTCCATTTTTCTGTCGTATGTCACCGTCGTCCAGATAGCGTATGTCGGATGTGGAGTTACTCTCTTCGTCATTTACTTCCGAAACGGGTGACGTAATCAAAAGTCCAACCTCGTTCATATCACTAAATGTTGTTGTTGATACAAAAACAACTTTATCTTCTGCCTCGCCAACCGTTTCTTGGCCAACCGTTTCTTGGCCAACCGTTTCTTGGCCAACCGTTTCTTGGCCAACAGTTTCTTGATCAACAGTCCCTTCCACCGCTGAGACATTTGATGTGTCACTTTCACAATTCCTGTCGAGATTACTCACGTCTTCAGTGTCGGAGACAGATGGGTCACTTAGTTTTAGCCGCTCAGCCTCAGGCGGGCCATGGTCGTCTAATGCTTTCACCTCATCACCGTCGAACATCTCATTGTCACACCTCCTGGCCATCATCAAAGATTCGCTCGTCACATCCGACATTTCGCTGACATCCGACACAAAGCCGGAGCTGTTCTCCTCGGGACTTTTCCTACAACGCAGTTCGATGTGCCGCTCATCAGAGCAATCTTCGAATTCCAAAGTCGCCAGTGGATAGCTTTCCTTATCAGCCTCAGTCGGACTTTGTCCATCCAGGTCACGCGCCACAAGGCAGCCGGTCGCATCTGATTCACCTAAATTGTCGTGTTCAGAATCTGTGGCAATTATTTCATTAAGGACGTCTGGGTAGGTCCAACTTTCAACCATATCATTTGAACCAGTGACATAAGGAGAGGTCCAAATTTCCATCATATCATTTGAACCAGTGACATCGTCTGTGATCTTCACTCCTAGCAGTTCCTGAGAAGACGAATCGTCTAGGTTATTTTCCCTTTCCCGATCGACCTTCATTCCCAAACAAGTCTCCACAACAATGGAAGGTATCTCAATCTCGATGTGTTGACCGCTGTCCTCAGCCAGACCTTCGTTTCTGCTCGTGGTTCCACACAGTTCCCGACTCTGTTCCAGCAGGACGTCGTCAGCAGATTGGAACGAGTCTAAACTCTCCGAGTAACCGGAGTAAAATGACTCGACGCTTCCGGAAATATCCGAGTAGCTTTTGCGAACCACGAATGAACCCGACTCGATGCGGGACGGCTTGTCCGTCAGGTCGTTATCTGAAACATCGCCGTGGTCGACTAGTCGACCTTCTGACATTCCGCCGACGTCATTGAACTGTCCTTCTCTCCCCTCAACAGGACAGGCCCATAAGTCGTCTGTCATCCCAGGACACCGCGTTGGTAAGATGTCACATGACAACGTGAGGGATTCTGGTCCTGACTTGAGATCGTTCATCTCTCTTATGGCTGATCCCGATTGACCGAGTACAACATTCTTCATTCTAAAGTTGTATCCATCAATCCAGTATGTTGTTAGCGGTGGCGGATGAGTTTTCCTTCTTTTCTTCAAAATGTTGACGACAACTTCCAGACTCTCTGCCAGCAAAGCTTTGGCGAGCAGAGAAGCGAACTTCTCAGCACTGCGACGGTATGATACATAGTCGTCCGGCTGAGACGGTGAGTAACTGACCCGGTCTTCCGATAGGCTCCGACGTGTGCTCACTGTTCCACACGTTTGACGACTGATGCCTGCCGGTGTCTGTGTGAGAAGGAAATCCTCCGAGCGTTCTGTGAACGCAACACGATCAGGGTCTGACGTTCTGCGGGCTGAGATGGTCTCTTTCGAGACTGGATCACTGGTACATACGTGAGGACCATCCACTTCGGCCGAGATTGTACTTGCGGCGCCGGGGGACGTTTCCAGTGTCCCCAACTCAGAAGTGGTTCTCATGTTTTTTGATAAAATTGTACCGAAAACTTCGCCCTGTTCCACGTTGTTAAACCACCTATCACAAGTTAAACTGTCTGAGGAGTCTGGCATATTTAAGTTTCTCATGTTATTCACATTCAACACTCCATCAGTTATTGAGGACCCCTGATCGACGATCGATGCATCAGTGAAAGTCTCTGACTGTTTACAAATTGTCTCCCTGCTCGCATCTCCACGGCAACCATCTCGTGATTGTGACACGTGTTCGGTATCTACACGCAGTAACACACCTGTCCCCGTGTACACATCGCCACATGGCCCTTGGCCCGGGGGATCACCTTGGACGTCGAGAAATTTATCTGGAGACTCGCCGGGGGGTCTGACCCATGGGGACGTTACGACCCCCTTCTGAAATTTGACCTCTGAAGGCTCAAATAATTTAATAATGTTGGTAAAAGACTGTGAAAGTTTACTTGGCGTCGGACGAGCTGGTTTCACCACCGTGTCCGTCCCTGGTTCAACCATGACAACGCTGGACTCTAGACTCTGAGATCTGACACGCCGAGACCCCGACTGACGCAGCGACTCCTGAATGAACGCCTTCTCTTCCTCCGTGTAAGCCTTGCTGATGGCCGAGGACGGGACACGAAAATCCTTCACACGAAATCTTGTCGGACTATCCAAACTTAACTGAGGCTGCTCCATCAGCGAACCTGGAAGAGTACCGCAAACGGATGTGTCTACGTCTACGCCATCAGCCACCGCGTGAGGATCGGTACCACGGGGCGTCACGCAAGAACCTGTCGACTCGAAATCAACCAATGGCGTGTGACCAGATGGCGAGAAATGTAAACTTTGGTCATGGACTGGCGCACTGAAACTCCTCAGGAGAACGTGCCCCGGGTGTGAGATGGGGGGCTGCCTTAATCCGGGCTTAACTCGGGTCATTGAGGCTTCCTGCTCGCTGTGCGTCCAATGTCGCGTTTCGACTTTGGCAAACAGTTTCTTTTTCAACCACGCCGGCAGTTTAGGTTTTGGCGGCACAGGTGGTCTGTACCCGGGCGGGTTTCTTCTAACCGAGGAGTCGGTGGGGTTGGCGAAACAACAGGGACTGGGCGTAGCTGGACAGGACGAGCCTTGTGGATAGACCCCAGATGGACTGGAAGAGGCTTGTGGATAGATCTCAGATGGGCTGGGTGAGGCTTGTGGATAGACCACACCCGGTGTTGAGGGACTGTCAACATTATCTATAATTTTGTTCTTAACAATTAAGTCAGGTAGATTTTTATTTTTAGCTCGATAGCCTCTGACTTTTGGTGTCAAATTTTCTAGACAATCCACAGAACTACTACCTTGTATCACATTATCCACAGAACTACTACCTTGTATCACATTATCCACAGAACTGCTATCTTGTATCACACGATCACTATCTCCACGATTGGATCGATCACTTGTTATCACAGTAACATCATTAGCGCGTTTATTAACTGACGGCTGACCCCTATTGTGAGACTCTTGGATTAGACCTCTATCCCCGATGTCCGTGCCTGAGCCGGAAGTGTTCACACCGACCGCCCCCTGACCAGCGAGGTCAAGTCGGGGTGGCGTTGATCTGGTCAACATTTCAAACTGGGATATTCTTGTTTTGAGAACGGGCAGGCCCCGCGGACGGGGGGACCGTTGGGTCAGACACAGCGAGCTCAGGTACGCGTCCTTGAATTTCTCCCGGTCCGTGCCGTCCCCGGCGACAGACGGAGGGACGCCAGAGATGTCCGCAGCTTCTGTCCTCGCGCTCACACAGCTGTGTCGCCTTGCCAGTAAATGGGCAGTCGGAGCAGAACCAGGCGAGCTAGTTGGCGGAGATTCGAGGTCCACTGGAACGGGGCCGAATGGAGCTTCACTGTCCAGAGCTGACGACGGGGAGACACAAGAGATGTCCTCGGAACTGCAGGACGACGTCCACGGGAGGCTGTCACGTCGCAGGAATGTGCCAGGGAGGGAGGGATGGGGGCGCCTTGGGGTGCTTTGTGCGAGGGAGTGCAGATATTGTTCTTTAAAATGTTCAATGTCCAGCTGTACCTTGTAGGTGGTATCGTCTGGGTTGACAAGGGTATGCATGTCATCTGAGGTGACATTGCTGTACGTGTCATCTAGGTTGCCATGTGGGTGGCCGCTAGAGGTAAAATCCTCCAGCACGTGGTTGGTATTGGTCAAACTGTCGTCGGGACAGGTAATGCTGTTGATGTAATCTTGAAGGGCAAACGGAGTTAGCTCCCGTGGGTTTTCGCGTGTTTCTGTATCTGAATGACCGCGAGAGCATTCATCTGACAGCGTTCTGTCGATGTTGTGATCACGACGGCCATTGTAATCCACGTGGGCGTGACAGGTATGGAGTGTATCAAGTTGGCGGGCATGGAGTGTGTCTTCTCGGCGGCTAAGGAGTGTGTCATCTTGATGGGCACTGAGTGTGTCATCTTGGCGGGCACTGAGTGTGTCATCTTGGCGGGGACTGAGTGTGTCATCTTGGCGGGCACCGAATGTGTCATCTTGGCGGGCTTGGAGTGTGTCATCTTGGTGGACTTGGATTGTGTCATCTTGGTGGGCTTGGAGTGTGTCATCTTGGTGGGCTTGGAGTGTGTCGTCTTGGCGGGCTTGGAATGTGTCATCTTGGTGGGCTAGGAAAGTGTCCTCTATACTGGCACTAACGATGGTGTTTCTTAGATAAGAATCGTCTGCCATGTCCAGAGGGAGCGTATCATGGAATCTCCACAGAACACTATGCACCGTTACATGACTGGGCCTAGAACTAGTAAACACTTTGAATAATTCACTTAACTCCACCACACACAACAAGAAAAATAGAACTGGATCAAGTCAAAGACAAAGAGCTGCCCCCCATCCCCACGCTACTTCTGACTGATGGTAACCACGATGCGAGAGCGAGCCATACCTTACAGTAGAAGATGGAGACGGNGGGGGGGGGGGGGGGGGGGAGAAACAGCGTCAGTTGAAGTAAGCGCCAAGTATTCTCAAACCGTGAGAAGGTACTTCATTCACACAAACACGCGGGGTGAGTGGCAAGGCGAGGGGCTATCTGAGAGGCTTTCCCCCCAAGAAGCTTACATTAAGTGCGGTTGGGAAGGTACTTCAGCTTAGTTCGACGGTGGCATTTTATCTTGCCAGACACGGGCTACCAATCTAAACAACGCAGAGATGGAACAGGTTTATCCCAACACCCAAATAAAAAATCTGCTGCTAGTCTCTAATGGAACTTGCATTGGAAACGAAAAAAAAAAAAAATTCTCCCCGCAAGGGTTTTCGTTACAACACGGATGCAGGTAAGGGTCAGCCAGGTGAGGTAAGACATCGCATATTGCAGGTAAGGGTCAGCCAGGTGAGGTAAGACATCGCATATTACAGGTAAGGGTCAGCCAGGTGAGGTAAGACATCGCATATTGCAGGTAAGGGTCAGCCAAGTGAGGTAAGACATCGCATATTGCAGGTAAGGGTCAGCCAGGTGAGGTAAGACATCGCATATTGCAGGTAAGGGCCAGCCAGGTGAGGTAAGACATCGCATATTGCAGGTAAGGGTCAATTTTAGTGAGGTAAGACATCGCATATTGCAGGTAAGGGTCAGTCCAGTGAGGTAAGATATCGCATATTGCAGGTAAGGGTCAGCCAGGTGAGGTAAGACATCGTATATAGCAGGTAAGGGTCAGTCAAGTGAGTTAAGACATCGCATATTGCAGGTAAGGGTCAGTCAAGTGAGGTAAGACATTGCATATTGCAGGTAAGGGTCAGTCAAGTGAGGTAAGACATCGCATATTGCAGGTAAGGGTCAGCCAGGTGAGGTAAGACATCGCATATTACAGGTAAGGGTCAGTCAAGTGAGGTAAGACATTGCATATTGCAGGTAAGGGTCAGCCAAGTGAGACATCGCATATTGCAGGTAAGGATAAGTCAAGTGAGGTAAGACATCGCATATTGCAGGTAAGGGTCAGTCAAGTGAGGTAAGACATTGCATATTGCAGGTAAGGGTCAGCCAAGTGAGACATCGCATATTGCAGGTAAGGATAAGTCAAGTGAGGTAAGACATCGCATATTGCAGGTAAGGGTCAGTCAAGTGAGGTAAGACATCGCATATTGCAGGTAAGGGTCAGTCAGGTGAGGTAAGACATCGCATATTGCAGGTAAGGGTCAGTCAGGTGAGGTAAGATATCGCATATTGCAGGTAAGGGTCAGCCAAGTGAGGTAAGACATCGCATATTGCAGGTAAGGGTCAGCCAAGTGAGGTAAGACATCGCATATTGCAGGTAAGGGTCAGCCAGGTGAGGTAAGACATCGCATATTGCAGGTAAGGGTCAGCCAAGTCAGGTAAGACATCGCATATTGCAGTTAAGGGTCAGCCAGGTGAAGTAAGACATCGCATATTGCAGGTAAGGGTCAATTTTAGTGAGGTAAGACATCGCATATTGCAGGTAAGGGTCAGTCCAGTGAGGTAAGACATCGCTTATTGCAGGTAAGGATCAGCCATATGAGGTAAGACATCGCATATTGCAGGTAAGTGTCAGCCATATGAGGTAAGACATCGCATATTGCAGGTAAGGGTCAGCTAAGTGAGACATCGCATATTGCAGGTAAGGATAAGTCAAGTGAGGTAAGACATCGTATATAGCAGGTAAGGGTCAGCCAAGTGAGGTGAGACATCGGATATTGCAGGTAAGGGTCAGCCAGATGAGGTAAGACGTCGTATATAGCAGGTAAGGGTCGGTCGAGTGCGGTGAGACAGCGTATACAGCAGGTAAGGGTCAGCAAAGTGAGGTAAGAAATCTTATATAGCAGGTAAGGGTCAGTCAAGTGAGGTAAGACATCGTATATAGCATGTTAGGGTCAGCCAAGTGAGGTAAGATATCGCATATTTTAGGTAAGGGTCAGCCAAGTGAAGTAAGACATTGCATATTGCAGCTAAGGGTCAGCCAGGTGAGGTAAGACATCGCATGTCGTAAGACGACGAGTCGGAGTAAGTCATGAGACGAGCCTCAAAAGCGAGACCGTGTCATGGAATGCAGCTTAAATACCTCACCTACAACCCGTACAGCTTCTATACATCTATGCTACAATGCGTACAGCTTCTATAACTCTATACTACAACCGGTAAAGTTTCTATAAAACTACAAGTAAAGTGTCTAGAGCCCCATACTTCACACGGTACAGTTTGTTATAGATCTATCCGACACCCGGTGCAGGTTCTATAGATCTAATAAATTGGGTCATATTAATTATGTCGTTATTGTATCTGGGATGGTTAAATAGGGATGTTAAATAATTTATGATTGGAAGTACACAATGCTACTTTGATGGTCTATACACAATGCTACTTGCATGGTCTATACACAATGCTACTTGCATGGTCTATACACAATGCTACTTTGATGGTCTACACACAATGCTACTTGTAGTGTCTACACACAATGCTACTTGTAGGGTCTACACACAATGCTACTTGTAGGGTCTACACACAATGCTACTTGTATGGTCTACACACAATGCTACTTGTATGGTCTACACAATGCTACTTGTATGGTCTACACACAATGCTACTTGTATGGTCTACACACAATGCTACTTGTATGGTCTACACACAATGCTACTTGTATGGTCTACACACAATGCTACTTGTAGGGTCTACACACAATGCTACTTGTAGGGTCTACACACAATGCTACTTGTATGGTCTACACACAATGCTATTTGTATGGTCTATGTGGAGATACACAATGCTGCTTTGATGGTCTATACACAACGCTACTTTTATGGTCCATATGGAAGTACACATTGCGACTTGTATGGTCCATATGGAAGTACAAATTGCTACTTGTATGGTCCATATGGAAGTACACATTGCGACTTGTATGATCCATATGGAAGTACACAACGCTACTTGTATGGTCCATATGGAAGTACACAACGCTACTTGTATGGTCCATATGGAAGTACACAACGCTACTTGTATGGTCCATATGGAAGTACACAACGCTACTTGTATGGTCCATATGGAAGTACACATTGCTACTTGTATGGTCCATATGGAAGTACACATTGCGACTTGTATGGTCCATATGTAAGTACACAACGCTACTTGTATGGTCCATATGGAAGTACACATTGCGACTTGTATGGTCCATATGGAAGTACACATTGCGACTTGTATGGTCCATATGTAAGTACACAACGCTACTTGTATGGTCCATATGGAAGTACACATTGCGACTTGTATGGTCCATATGGAAGTACACATTGCGACTTGTATGGTCCATATGTAAGTACACAACGCTACTTGTATGGTCCATATGGAAGTACACAACGCTACTTGTATGGTCGATATGGAAGTACACAACGCTACTTGTATGGTTCATATGTAAGTACACAACGCTACTTGTATGGTCGATATGGAAGTACACAACGCTACTTGTATGGTCCATATGGAAGTACACAACGCTACTTGTATGGTCCATATGGAAGTACACAACACTACTTGTATGGTCCATATGGAAGTACACAACGCTACTTGTATGGTCCATATGGAAGTACACAACGCTACTTGTATGGTCCATATGGAAGTACAAAACGCTACTTGCATGGTCCAGTTCTCAACGGTCTAGACTCGCTAACATAATACGGGTGATCAGTGAGCGAAATGTATTTTTTATATTAACAGTAGAATCGTCTATTCTAGCAATGCCGCTGTAAGACGATCTCTCATCACTACAATTAACCCTTGGCATCTCGACTCGATAACCCGGAAGCAACTCAACTGAAACGAGATTTAAACAGAAAACTAGAAGATTGCAGATGGTAACCATTTACCACACGAATTTTTAACAGTTACATATATATTTATATATCTATTACAAATAAAAGATATCGACCACAAGACTAAGCCTGTCAGATCTTCCCTGCAACCTATTGTAAACTTGTAAACTCTGTGTTAACTTTGTAACTATTTTCAGTTTCTATTAAAAAGCACGCATTATTATTGTCATAAAATATTGTCTTTAGAATCGGGAGACCGCTGAACATCCCCCCCACCCAATCTTTCCCCAGTTAGGTCAAGTCTAAACTCTTTGTTAACTTTGTAACTATTTTCAGTTTCTATTAAAAAGCCCCCATTATTATTGTCATAAAAAATTGTCTTTAGAATCGGGGGACCCCTGAACATCCCCCCCCCCCCCCAATCTTTCCACAGTTAGGTCAAGTCTAAACACAACTCACTGTAGACAATACTGGAGCACAAAGCTGGCAACCGGCACAATGGAATAGAACGCGCTGAACAGAAGAACAATCGGACACAGCTTTAGGCTAAATAAAATAGTCCCAAGACCGTTCTCCTCATTAGACAGAAGCACAGGCTGGACTTAATAGACTTAATAGACTTAATAGACTTAATAGACTTAATAGACTGGGTGAAACGCACCGCCGTCGTCACCACACGCAAGGAGTAACGAAAAAGACGAAAGATGAGACGATGAAGTCTGCCAGCGTGTAAACACTTTCTCGGCGTATTCCTTGATAATTTCATTTCTTGCCTTATTTACTTTGCGTTAGAAATATTGGAAAACATGGCACGGGAACTCCGGGACGACGCACCTGCGTCATCGGACGCACACACACGCACTCACACACACATATATATACACATGCACATAATATACATATTCCAGACGTTTGGAAGGTAAGTCGACCAGAGGTGGCGCCTTCGTCTTAAAAAAAAAAAGGGGGGGGGACTACCTTGTCGTGTTCACAAAAAAAGGGGGGGGGGAGAGAAGGGGAG